TGAAGTCTGATAGAAATAGTTTTGTTTTTGTGGACAGCACTGGAGAGGTACAATAAAAACAATCACAACAGTCCCCATGCTGGTTTGCTGTATCTAAAACCGGAAATACATTGTAGACTATTTATCCGCACATTATATTCTTGTTTTGGAAAAACTGCACAGCATATTACAGATCATCACTACCTAGAGCTCTACAACATTGTTCTAATGCCTTCTTGAAAAAAAGAACATCATATTATTGACAACATCTCACAACTGTATCTGACCTGTTTTATCTTACTGGAATGGTTTTGAAGCCTGTGAGTGAACACACATGAAATAAACTCTTCTTCCGTACAACATTTTGTCCCGAGTCCCGTGAACTCCAGGTGCATCTCGTAAACACACACAAAGGGTCTGTTGTTTAACTCACTCTCGGTTTAGTTTCCCCAAGGGCATGCTGTCCCCATCTGCTCCTAACAGCTGGTATTAAAGGGTTTGTTCACCCAAAAATGAAAATTAGGCTGTGTTTTACTCACCCCCGAGGCATCCTAGGTGTATATGGTTTTCTTCTTTCAGACGAATCCAGTCGGAGTTAGATAAAAAATTGCCCTGGCTATTTTGGGATGTGGCCGAAGCGTGAAACAAATAACGCGTTATACGGAGCCACTAAAAGGTTAGCCGCTTGCTAGCGGTAGCCTGTTGCATTACAGTACATGAAAGTTCACTTACCACATACACAGAGTAAGGAGAAATGTCTGATAGGACGATGGCGAATGATTTGCAGATCCTGAGCACCATTGACAAACATCTAATCTTGTCAAATGTGTGTTAAGTACTGCCGCTCCATAGTATAGAGTCCTTGTGATCGTGAATCTCAAAAGTAAAAGTGAAAGTGAAAGTAAAATGAGAGCGCGCAATCGAAAAAGATTTCAATAGCGGCTCCCTGATGCCCGCAATTTATATACAGTCGCCTATACTTACCCAACGATATAATTGCAAGAAAAAGTATTGAAATAATTTTTATCCTCCCATCTCGTAGGCTATTTATTCCCTTTAGGGTTTCCGTAGTACACTTAATTTCCTTTCCGAACACGGAACTGGGATGCGGCGGATTGCGGGAGAGGGGGTGGTGGGGGATCACAATGCCAGCTTAACATCGTTATACTTACCCAACGATATAATTGCAAGAAAAAGTATTGAAATAATTTTTATCCTCCCATCTCGTAGGCTATTTATTCCCTTTAGGGTTTCCGTAGTACACTTAATTTCCTTTCCGAACACGGAACTGGGATGCGGCGGATTGCGGGAGAGGGGGTGGTGGGGGGGGGATCACGATGTCAGCTTAACATCGTGATGTCTGTCAGCCATCGGCGATGGACGATGGCATCGTCTATCGGCCCAACCCTAACTCCGACTGGATTCGTCTGAAAGAAGAAAGTCATATACACCTAGGATGCCTCTGGGGTGAGTAAAACAAAGCCTAATTTTCATTTTTGGGTGAACTAACCCTTTAAAGATGGACGCAACCCAAACACACACGATCGTGCATCATCCCTAAAAACATCACACTCTGTCCTCCTGTCAACAAAAGAGCTCAACAAAACTGAGACACAGAGAGAGAAATGAGCTTTTAACGTGTCACATTGTCTTCGCAGGCCCATGAGAGCAATAGATCGGCCAAAATGATAATTTACAGAAGCCTGACATGATGATGTGTTTGTTGAAATCCTATGTCTCCTCTATGGAAACGGTTTTATAATCACACTGAAATAAATGCTGGCTATTTTTTCACTGCTAAATCAAACTACCTAAATGCCAGCAAGACTGACTCAAAGTATAGAGATGGAGTTAAATCACTCAAAGCAAATAAACATGCGCATTTGAGTATTAAACCACACTTTCAGCAGAGGAAAGTGAGATAAAAAGCCCTGTCTGTAACATGTTACCAGTTACCACAGAGAATAATTTGCACTTACTAAGCAAAAGATGCATTTACAGTAATGGGAAAAACATTACACTGAGACATTTCCACAGAGAAATGGAACACCCCAATTCACTGATCCGAATGAAAGAATGATTAATTCACGAATGAGACATCTCCACTTTTCCCACGAACATGCCAAGGAGAGCTAGGGCAGATATCAAGATTTTCTGTAAACAATGACTTAAACTATACTGCTTCTAACAAAAAGCACTGCAAGTGCAGTTTATTACATTACACAGGTTTCTTTCCAATTAATTCTAAATGTCTGATTTTCACATTTTTAAATATCTTAGATATTTTTGTTAATCTATGACACTTACATGAATTTTATATAAAATTATATATATAAAACATGAAATCTATATATTTTTATTTTATTTTGTTATATAATTAATATATTTTTATTTTATATTATATATAGCATATAGTAGTATTATATTTATTATATAATTTATAATATATTTTCTGATTATATATCATTATATATCGAGTTTCATATAATTTTACATATAATAAAAATGTATATATTGTTTATATTTCATATAAATTCTATATTTTACATTTAAAATGTATTATAATTTGTTTTACATATAATATTTATATTTTTTATAAACTGTATATAGGCAGAGCCACTGAGATCTCAAAAACTGGATCAATCTAATTTGTGAATGAATCATTTTGAGAACCGGTATAAACCCATTCACTAAATAGAATGATTCATTCATGAATCAGACATCTCTAGCTTAAACTATGATCTGTTTCTCACAAAAAGCTATCGTATGACTTCAGAAGTCTTGGAATACAGTGCACAAGAACTACTTTTATTGATTTCTTCCATGCAAGAAAGACATGACCGTGTATATAGTTTGTGCATTCGTTCTGTTGTCCTGATGCATTTAGTGAGTTAATGGGGTCAGAGGTGTTGTGTGTGGCGTCCTGCAGACACACAGGCTTTGGGTTTTACACACCACACTGCTGCAAGTCAATTATGGGTGTGTCCTGCTCAGATCAAGCATGCTTCCTGGAACGCATGCTGCCTGCTCCAGCGAAACAAAGACAACTTCACACGCGTGGAGAAAAAACATCAGGCCCACACTTGCTCAAAACACACATATCTCTCGCCTCAGGGTCCAACTTTAACCCTCATCCAAAGCAAATACCTTGTTCTAGGACAAAATACACTAAATTTGAATGAAAGCAAATGAAGGAAAATGCATCATAAAAGCAGTCTGTGCTATTTTTTGAAGTCATACGACAGCTTAGTGTGAAAAACAGATCCAAATTTATGTAGTGTTCAGTTGCATAATGACGGTACACCCTTCACACTTCTGAGGTTTAAACCTACAACCAACAGGTTACTAGCCCAGATTTTTAACCACTAAGCCACAACACGCCCAGCAGGGAGTGTCTCGAAATCAATTAATTTCTACATTAAGTAGAGAAAAATACTTGCATTTTTATTTCTGTACTGGATCTGGATGTATAATCAATGTCAAGCTAACAGTCTAATGCAGGGTGTTTTTAATATTTTAGGTGCTACGGACCCTCAAATATCATCATCCTCATGCAAGGGACCTCACATCCTAAAATTTAAAATGCAGCTATATATTCCTATGTATAAACACCCAATTTATACTGTGAAAATTATTATTATAAATATGTGCGATATTAGGAAAATATTTAGTTTCCATTACATTACTTTATAGCATTTTTCTACTCACCATAGTACTGTTCTGTTAGATGTATTTTTTTCTTTTTTTTACATTATTAATTATTTGTTAGTCATTTTCAATTTGTTTTAATTAAATGTATTTATATAGTTTTTAATTATTTACTTTATTTTTACTCAGTTTTTCTCTTAACTGTTACCCCCTAGTGCTCCCTTGTGGGTCTCCGGACCCTTGGTCTAAGGGGCCCTATAATATAAATAAATGAGACGTTACATTAATCAGATCAGATCCAGAGCTAAACATACATACACAAACATAGGAAACACAACACATAAACATAAGCACATAACATAATAACTCATAGACTAACTTGATAAAGACACACAAAGTTTAGCCTGCGTGCGTGCGCGCGCGCGCACATACAGACACACACACACACACACACACACACACACACACACACACACACACACACACTCAGTGCTAGGCCTGCAGTCTAATGGGTTTCCGTGGGTGGAAAATTAAAGCTCGTCTCTTTGGTCTCTTAAAAGCATCTTGTGTTGTCGAACACACCCTAAACACATTTAAAGCCCTGAGAAACACACACACATCCGGCTCAACTCACCGGCCTCGTTACTGAGTGGATCTCTAGCTCCTGTGGCGCATAACTGATACATGTCTTTCCTCTGGTCCACGATCCACAAACGGCAGCCTCACACTCCCGCAGCCCGAGGAAAGAGTTGAGGAACGCGGATAAACCACGCCCAGGAACTCGCGTCAGCCGAACCGGCCGGGACGCGTGAGCTTCGAATTCTACTACGGCGAAGGCTCGGCTTATTAACATTAAGGACGTAACTTTACGTTGGAGCAGTAGACGCACCTGATTGGTTGAAAGAAACTTTATGGGCTCTAGTCGGATGGCTGTATCTATTAACGGAGCGTCATTTGCATGGCAATAGAGTACAGTGTCGCCAAAAAAATTACGAAGTTCCAGTTTATTTATTTTGATATATATTCAAATATATTTTTGTTAGTGTGTGATATTTCCTTTATTATTATTATTATTATTATTATTATTACTATTAGAATATTTATTTTATAAAATGCAATTATATTTTATAATATACGATATATAAAACAAAACATTTTTTATTTTATTTTATATATTATATTATTTTATTTAATAATATATAATCGAAGAACAATTTAATTGTATGGTCCTCTTCTTTAATGATCTGTTTAAAATGTTATTAAGTATTTCCCCTTTCTGTAGTGACTTTTCCAACATTAAACAAAATAAATATCCAGCATGCACATCTGCATTCCATTTGGAGGCTGTAATAATGATTATTTAATTAGGTTACATGCCGGACTCTGCCACAACGTTACTAAGCAACGTCAGCGTTGGTCACTTAATATTCATGAGCCCGATCTTCGCCATAGTAGGATTTGTACTGCGGCGCGTTGACCGGAGCTGCGCTGATACAGCACGAGCGTGCGTGACCGTGACGCAGGTGGAGTGGACGCTGCAGACTATCCTTCTGCGATGAAGGTCGTTTATTGTAACTGAAGGAACTGTGGCAAGACGCGGGGGAAGTCAAGAAGAGCCACAACTGTTGAATAACAAAGTTACTATGACATCATAAATTTCCTGTATTTACTAATATGGTGAATGTATACATATAAGTCATATATATGGACCCTATATCAACATTAAATAAATTAACAAATAAAAATGAAATGAATTAATGAATTAATTAAAAAAACAAACCAGGAGATCAGCAGAGGAAATGTTACAGTCACACCCGCAACAACCTAATCATTTTAATAATTATCACATTGTCATATATGTCATTATATTGCATTTATAAAAATGTGAGAATTAGATGATTAAAGCTGCAGTCCGTAAATGTTGCCTCTTTGTCGCCCTCTCTGTTTGAAAACCTGCAATTGCAGTTACTTGCGGAATTATCTTCCTTGCGTGGGTTGTACTCTGGCACAGCAATGATGAATCTAATGTTTTGAGGAGTATGTGTGAATCCTATACCTAGTAATCACAGATTCTAGCCTTCGTCTTGGAATATATGACCCAAATAAGAATTTTCACCGGATATTGTCATCTGCAGTGTTGCGCATTACAAGTAACGCGAGTTACGTAATCAGATTACTTTTTTCAAGTAACTAGTAAAGTAATGCATTCTTTTTTAATTTACAAGAGAATATCTGAGTTACTTTTTCAAATAAGTAACGCAAGTTACTTTTTTTTTCCAATTTATTGATTGACAGCTCTCCTGTCCCCATGTTGAGAGAAATCAGATGTTACTGTAGTTCTAAAATAAATATGAATATGCATTAATTCATCTCACTGGATCTCACACACACAGATTCAGTATTCCTCAAAATGAATAAAAAAAATGCAACTCAGAATATGACGCAAACCTGCAATAATTAAATGCTAAACAACACAAATATCCTTTATGTATTTAATCCCATTCTATTAACCAATGTCTTTGCTTCTGTCCTTCGATTATCCAGTTCAACCGTACTAATAAGCAAAAATTACTCTAGACAAACGTTTGCGTGTCTTTTTTTATTGCTGAAGTGTGTTGAAATTTCTTCTTCTGCATTCTACTGTACGGACGTAAATTTACATTTCCTTCAGCCTGAGGCTTATTCATTTCACTTTTGGTGTGAAAAGGCTTTTATATTTGCCAAAAATAGAACGTTTTTTAATCCTTTCTGGATTACAATCTGCCATCAAAATAATTTTTTGACTTTTAATTATTCCAGCTGCTGTGAGAAAAGGGTAACGATCCGCCACCTGACAACAAAAAACAAACAAACACTAGCTTTCTATTTTTTCTATTCTATCTA